AAAGAAGGGATGTGAATCCTCAGGGAGGTGTGGACCTGCCAGAAAACCAAAGCATGGTTCCTCAGTAGGCAAAGAGGATCTGACCTGAAGCTAGTTGAGAGAAAGCATGAGAGGGAAGTACTGATACATGCTTACCCCTTTTTCACTCTCTTGTGATAGACAGGTCTTGGCCAGATCCTGTAAGGGTTGTTCTGCAGGAGAAGGTTGAAGGGAACAAATGGGTTAAAAGAGAAAGGAAAAGAGTGGGAAGAGCTTGGTTCCTCAGTAGGCAAAGAGGATCTGACCTGAAGCTAGTTGAGAGAAAGCATGAGAGGGAAGTACTGATACATGCTTACCCCTTTTTCACTCTCTTGTGATAGACAGGTCTTGGCCAGATCCTGTAAGGGTTGTTCTGCAGGAGAAGGTTGAAGGGAACAAATGGGTTAAAAGAGAAAGGAAAAGAGTGGGAAGAGCTATTGTGCATGGCACACAGAGCACAAATAAAGCCATTTAGTCTGTCACAAGGTGGTTGTGGTTGGGTTTCTGCCCTGAGCACTGTGCACCTCTAAGGGCTGAGACTGAGCAGGAGCTCTTGGTGCTCAACATCACCACACTCAGTCTCTGAGAGTGCTGCTGAAACCTGGGAAACTTACCCCAAGATCTTCTTTTCCTTGACCACAAACACTCGTTTTTGCTCTCCCTGCAGGGTGTCACCCCTCCTGTAAAACCTGCACCAGTGGAGGTCCTTCTGCCTGTTCTTCCTGCAACTCCAGCCTGGTTCTGTCCCACACCAGCACCTGTGTGCCAGTCTGTTCCCTGGGGTACTACAGGGACGACAGACAGACCTGCAGACGTGAGTGCCTCTCCCCAGGCCATCTCTCCTTTCCACAGGGCATTTCCTGACATGTCCTTTCTTGTTCCTTTGCTCACTGTTCCTGTTGCCTGGAAAAGAGAGACCTCAAGTGCCTAAAAACCTGATGCAAGCTGAGAGAGGTGATGAGCTGCCTCAGGAGCAGAGCCTGCAGCGTGGCTGAAGTTTGGAGACAGTTGCAGTTCTGTTACAAGTGGCTTTGGGTCCCATAGGAAACATCTTCAGGGCTGTGTAGGCTTCCTTGTGGCGTTGGCTAGGTGGGACTTGGAGAAGTGGCCAAAAGTACTGGTGGATTCTGGGCTTTGTGAAAACTTGACTAATTGAGACCAGTTTTAATCAACCCTTACTTAAGGCAATCTCCCTCCCCACTGCACTACCTGCTGTGGGAGCTGCATTGCAGCATTTGTGCCCATTTTTCCACATGGCAAACCTCAGTAGGAACAAAGTGCAGCTTGGTAGGCACATCCTGATAGCCCTGAGCTGTGATGTTGTTACCTCCTAATGGGGTAAGTCCAGTTAGGTTTTGTCCTCCTCCTGCTCTCCCTTACAAATCTCCTGGGGCCTCTCTTT